TCATCCAAAGACTGATTACAGCCAATCTCCGAAAACTCCGAACAGTTATCACAATCCTCCATCAGTTCTTCATCGCTCTTTTCATTCTCCACAAGCGCATTAGACTGTAACCCACTAACACTCGGAACCTCATCACCATAAACACATCCAGTATCATTAACAGCAACAACCTCATCCTTCAGAACATTCGGGCCAGCAGCGTTATCACCAGTTCGCACAGATGAGACAAACTCACTCACCTGTGACTGCGAGCTTGGATCTCCAGCACTCTGCTCGGGTGGAGAGCCTCTCTGAGGAGCACCGCTGGGTTCACCTCCCGAACCTGAGGCCTCCTCATCATTAACCCCGTTTATCTTTCGTTTTTTTTCTGGAATCATTACCTCCTTTACAGCCGTGGGCCGCTTTTCTTTATCTGAACTTTTGTTATTTTCGCTTTGATCAGTTTGCTCATCATTATTTCCGTCATGCTTTCCATTTTCTGACAGTTTCTTATGCAGGCACGTGAACTTCTTATGTCCCAAATCCCCGCATTCAAAACAACGCAAACTATCTGTCGGTGCAAAGATCATAGAGGAGCTATCACCGTGCTGAATGCGACACGAGATATCCAAAGACTTAGACTGCGCATTTAAAAACATGAACACTTGTCTTCGAAAAGACAGCATGTTTTAATGCAGCGTTTTTACACCATTCTGATGGGTCCAGCAAACTTTCCGAAGCGACTCATTTCTTTTCTAATTTGCTCATTAGAGATGAATGGAGGCACGTTTGAAATGGAAACCTTATAGCAGGTGCGCACAAAGGCATTACTTGCACCAAGGTATCAGAAACAACAATGCCGTTTTCAACAAGGCTGTTTACAAGGTTTTCCTCTCTAAGAAACACCACCACAGCCTTGTTCATTCTGGAAGCCGATGCTATATTTTCGTGCCCTACAATCTCACCCATTGCTAGAAGCACGTCTTCTAGCTGACTTGGGCTTGTCTCACTGTGTCCAAGTTTCCACCTGACCAGAGCTACTATTTTCAAGCTCGGGATGATAGGGAGGACCTTATCCTCCCGCGACGTGCTTCCGTAGACTGGGGACAGTGAATCTGGTTTAAGGTTCTTGGAACCAGGAAGGTAAGACAGGACAAAGTGAAATCGGTTGAAGAATAGCGACCAACGCGCCTGTCGGGGATTGAGCCGCTTGGCTTGTTGGATGTATTCGAGATTTTTGTGGTCCTTGAGTACTTGGAACAGGTGTTTAGTGCCCTCGAGCCAATGCCTCCACTCCTCCAGCGCTGACTTAACAGCCAGAAGCTCTCGATCACCCACATGGTAGTTTCTGTCTGTCGGGGTAAGACGGTGGGAAAAGAAGGCGGCCCTTACGCCTTTGAGACAGCACTGCTCCAACTCCTACATCAGAGGCATCCACCTCTATGACAAAGGGAATCTCCGGATCCAGGAGAACCAGAATAGGAGCCGAGGAGAAGCGGGTCTTCAGTTCGCAGAAGGCCGACTCAGCGTCCCGGCTCCAGTGGAAGCTCGCGGAGGTGCCCTTGGTGAGTGCTGATAACGGGGCTGCAACAGAGCTGAAGTTCCGGATAAACTTGCGATAAAAATGGGCGAACCCGAGGAAGCGTTGGACCTCTTTTATTGACGAGGGGGTAGGCCAATCCATAACTGCACGCACCTTTTTTGGGTCCATACGGATAAGGCTGGGTTTACGGCGAATCCCAAGAAGTGGACATGGGTTACGTGGAACTCGCATTTCTTGACGTACAGGTGGTTGTCCAGTAGGCATCAGAGGACTTTGCTGACATGGGTAACATGATCCTGCAGAGAGCTCGAGAAAATGAGGATGTCATCCAGATAGACAAAGACGAATTTGTTGAGCATGTCCCTAAGTACGTCGTTGACCAGGGTTTGGAAGACCGCAGGAGCATTAGTGAGGCCAAAAGGCATTTCCAGGTACTCATAGTGCCCCGTAGGCATGTTGAAGGCGGTTTTCCATTCATCACCCGGTCGGATATGCATAAGGTGGTAGGCATTACAAAAGTCCAGTTTGGTGAAAATCAAGGCCTCTTGAAGGACCTCAAAAGCGGTGGCCATGAGAGGTAGGGGATAGCGATTGTGCACAGTGATCTTGTTGAGCCCCCTGTAATCAATACAAATCCGAAGGCCCCCGTCCTTCTTCCCGACGAAAAAGAACCCCGCCCCAGCCGAGGAAGTGGATGGACGGATAATCCCAGCTGCAAGGGACTCCTCAATGTACTCGTTCATGGCGGCTCTTTCAGGAGGGGACAATGAGAAGATGCGACCTCTAGGGGGACTGAAGTCAGGGACGAGGTCTATAGCGCAGTCGTAGGGACGATGAGGGGGCAATGAGGTGGCTTTCCTCTTACTAAAAACAGTCTTGAGGTGGTGGTACTGCAGGGGAATTCGGGACAGATCTATGGTTTCTAGGGCCTCGGGAGCAGGGTCAGGGTCTCTCTGGCCCAAGCATGTAGTCTGGCACGACGCACCCCAACTGAGAATTGCCCTCGTGGACCAGTCGATGTGTGGGTTGTGCTGGAGGAGCCAGGGGTACCCAAGGATGATGGGAATCTCAGGAGACTCGATAAGATAAAAACATATTTCCTCCTGGTGCTGGCCGATGGCCAGTCGAAGGGAAAAGGCAAGATGGGTTATTTTGCCAGGGGCTAGCAGCCTACCATCCAACGCTGTGGCAGTCATGGGAGCAGGAAAAGAGTTCCTGGGGATCTGGGCCCGTATTCACAAAGCTTCCTAAGCCTAAAAGTTGCTCCTAGTGACGAAATTCTAAGAAAATTCTTAGAATTATGACGTTTTCTTAGAATTTCTCCTTAAATTTAGGACTAAATCTTAGTAAAGATAAAAATGATTCATGGAACATCTTAGTCCTAAAAACAGCTCCTAAAGTAAAAATTGTTAGGAGTAGAGAGGAGGACTTTTAAGAGGCTTAAGAGTTTCTATAGCAGAGGACAAAATGGCGGAAAGAAGAAATATTCTCCAAACACTGCTCTTCTGTCCAGTTTGGTTTTCTTGTTCTTTTACTTCCTTAATGTATTATTATTATTATTATTATTATAATACACCGAGTAAATTATAAGTTTCACACACCAGCACACAGAGACAGGACACTGAACTCCAGAAAAATCAGTTCTATTCGTGAATGAATCATTCAGACTAGTTTTATCAACGGGTTTCTCCAATTCACTGAAACGAACCAAATCAAACGATTCACAAATCGGACATTATTACACTTATTTCATAAACTCACCCGTGATAATTAAAGCAGATTTACATGACTACAGCGTAAATTTCAATCGATTCCTCACAGAAAACTGTTCCAATGCTGCGGAAACCTTGAATATACATCATTAGAGCAGTTTTATTGTTGCTTGGTGACTTTTTATCCTTTTATGAATGCTGCTCCATTTGTTGTTCATTGCATGGAAATATTGTTACAACTTCCAGTTCATAAACATCGGGGTGAGTAACTGAGAGAATTTCTACTTTATGTTACTTAAAACAGCTTCATAAAGACTAGCTTCAGAATCATAACATAAAACGGGGAACAATAAATCACCTTTTTAAAAAAAACTGGGTGACTAGCTGAAGAAACTTTGCATAAAGTAGCCTGTATTCATGATTATACAATTTCTTAATACAAACATTTTATGATTTCACTGTCCATTCTATTATCATATATTCTATTCTCACAAAGAGCGCATTTTAAGACCTTTACAGATAGTTTTTTTTCAACCAATCACAGTCCTTGAGTTGCTGCGTCATCCCTAGCAACGGGGTCGACCACACCTCCTCACTAAGATAAAGGTTTTTGTACTTTCCTTACTCAGAGTTGCTCTGAGAAGTTTCCTAAATCACTTTTAGTCTAGGACTCCCAGCTAGGACTTTTTAGGCTAAGATAGGAGCTCTCTGAGAGAACTCTAAGAAGCTTTGTGAATACAGGCCCTGGAGTCTCTGGGCTAGGGAAATGTCCATAAAGTTCCCAGCAGCGCCGGAGTCAATTAAGGCCTGGAGTAGATGTTGCTGGTGACTCCAGGTGAGAGTGATGGGAAGGACCAGCCCAGAGTCAGAGGGAGCGCCAGTGTGAGTTACTCCCGTGACAGTCCTGCCTCGCCTGTACGGGACTGGGCGTTTTCCCGAGAGCTCGGGGCAAGAGGTACGGAAATGGCCTGACCGACCACAGTATAAGCAACAATGTTCCCGCATGTGACGGTTTCGCTCCGCAGGGGAGAGGCAGGCCCTGCCCAACTGCATCGGTTCTGAGGGGTCTTAGGGATCAGATCAGGCTGAGTTAGAGCATGGGAACGGCTCTGGTCTCTCTCTCCGGCGATTATCTAACCGGACAGCCTGGTCAATGAGGGCCACAAGGTCCTGGGCAGGCTCTCTAGTAGATAGGTCATCCTTGATTGCCTCAGATAGCCCGTTCAAGAAGCAGACCATGAGGGCTTTGTTGTTCCAGCCACTGGTCCGGAACTTGATGACATATTCGGCAGTACTGTCGTTGCCATGCCAGCCGCTCAGAGGGTGGTCAAACACTTGCTTGAATTCTTCTACAAACCTAGAGTAGCACAGAACAGAGCTTGCACCATGAGAGAGTCTTTCCAGAGAGAAGGGTAATCACATAGGTGATTCTTGGCCCAGTCAGACAGGAAGGATGAGGGCTGCAGCTCAAACAGAAGGGAACACTGTGTCAGAAACCCGTCACAAGCACTAGAGTCACCTGAGAAGCGCTGCAGGGGCTGGAGATTCGAGAGAGGGCACGGAGGCTGCTCTAGGTGCCGAAGCAGATGCAGCAGGAAGCCGGTCAGAGATCTGCTGGATTGCAGCCAGGAGAGTGTTGGGCCATCAAGGTCTCCTGCTGAGCCAGGACAGTCTCATGGCGTTGTACAGTGGAATCATGCTGGGCCACAGTGGCAAGGAGCTCCCGAGTGTTCACCATTTCCGGGTTTATTGTGGTTTGGTTGTCCCGTCAACACAGGGGCTCGAACCCGGGTCTCCGGCATGAGAAGTGTACGTTTTACCGTTAAACCACAAGGAGGCAGTGAACCCACGATACACACGCCGAGGTGGTGCACAAGAATTTATTTTAAAAAATCAAGAAAAATAACAAGAAAAAAAATGGGAAAACAAGAAGGCAAAGAAACTCAAAAACGGAGACGAGACGGGGAACTGAAAACAGCCAAAAACTAAGAGAGAAACAGAGAATAAAAGAGAAAAACCAAGGCTAGGGCGCTAGAGAAAAAACACAGAAGATATTAGACTCAAGAGGAGCAACGAGGAAGATAACAGGGGCTTAGGAAAAAATACTAACCAAGCGGGGAATGAAGGCAAATGGGACGGCTTAAATACACTAAACAGGAACGAGACACAGGTGAAAGCAATGAAACCAATTACAACAAGGAAGAACTAAGGCTGGGCGACATCTAGTGGGGGAAAAAAACATAACACAACAAAAAACACAGAAAAAAAGGCCAAAACTCTGACAGTGTGTGTGTGTGTGTGAGAGAGAGAGACAGAGAGAGAGAGACAGTGTGTGTGTGTGTGTGTGTGTGTGTGAGAGAGAGAGAGAGAGACAGAGAGAGAGAGAGACAGTGTGTGTGTGTGTGTGTGAGAGAGAGAGAGAGAGAGAGAGACAGTGTGTGTGTGGGTGTGTGTGTGTGTGTGTGTGTGAGAGAGAGAGAGAG